GTGAGCACGAATGGTTGTTCATCTCTGCGTGCCCTGCGATTGGCTGGCAACTGGTTCAATGGATGGAAAATACATCCTTTTGTGAAGGGGGCGGGGGAGGATTTGTGGTTTGGTTAATGACCGGTAAGCACATGAATGGATCAACATCGCCACTCAGGGGGAACAATCTTTGTTAAGATGACAATGCCTTGACTTCTTAATAACTGCTCCTGTTACAGCGGGGCTAATCATTGCTGAAATTGGATCCTGTGTGTGCGTGATTGTGTTTTGGTGAGTATGATGTTTGTGTCTGCATGTGAGCACAAGCAGTTGTTTATGCATGAAAGGTCAACGGGCTCCTTCGAGGTGATACGTTTCTATTTGTCATGCAGTATGCATGAAACTGAATGCGTAGGTGGATACGTGTCAGGCTTCCATTTAGGAGATTGGATCAAAGATCTGGATTGTTGTTAAAGAACACTGTTAATGGCACAGTCTTCATGGGAACATATGAACTGCCTTGTTTCAGTTAAAAAATGCACAAAATAGGCACAGGCTGAGTTTGGTGATATGATGGATTTAATGCAGAGGTCCAATGTTGTGTTCGACCGCTCAGGGTAAAAAAAATAAAACCTTGTGACTGTCAGACCAGCACCGCATTTCATTTTGCAAACGGACCTCTTTCAATTTGTACTAAATGGGTTTCAAATCGCGCCGCTGGCTACACAGGCTGAAATCCATTTGTTTTAGATGAGACGACCACGAGACGTGGCGACAACACAGCATTGCGATCAAATTTCAGATGACGCGGTCCTTGTCCATCAATTATTGATCGTTTAACCATGCCCATCTGTTGCGGAACAACAAATGTCACTTAATTACCTATAAAAACAAAAAAAGTGTCACAGCTCTGCCTAAAATCCCGCATTTGGAAGATTCCGTCGAAACGTCCAAAAGAGCAGCGCTGACATTTGGACTGACACTGTTTAGTGATGAAAACAATGTTCTCTTCTGTTCTTCCACCACACTCCACATGATCTCATTTATATAATGTGACTGACAGACGCATTTGCGCCTAGCTGAAAAGCAAATAGAACCCGGAGAGCAATTTTCCCTCCTACTTGTGTCTACCTCATTGCAGTGTTCCGAGAGACAAGAGAGGCGAGAGGGCCCTGTGTTAAGTGTCTTATTAGTGGGAAATGACTGCAATGTCAGAGCAGCCCAAGCTGTCACAGCGCAGCCATCGTTCGAATGAGAAGCTCTTGTCGTGGATGGAATCACATTTTAATCCTTACCACATTATTACCGTGGTGACCAAGGTCAGCACTCAGGCGCATTTGAGCAGGAATAAACCCCCTTGAGAGCTTATGATAATGTGTTCTCTCAATGGGAAATATTGGTCGTATTTTACTTTCAAGCTTTTTGTCGAATACGGCGGGGCTAATGAAGAGCCTAATGCAATGCAGCTGTGTGGGCCGCCATGGTAACCATGAATAATTCAGCCTACTTGTTCTTTGGTTTCCTGGTCTCAGGAGGGTTCTGCCTATATTGTCCATTATGACAGGCCATTATCCAGCCTTCAGTCTGCTAGCTCTCAGATGGCGCGCAGAGCCCATTTGTTACCCCCGGTGCCCCGAGTAACCTTCAACCAGCTGGAGAGAATGATTGAGACTATGCTGTTATATAAACATGAGAGCAAGAAGTGCAGGACGTTCAAAAACGAAGGGAACCCGGCGCACCGGGGAATTCACGGCGGTCCTCCCATTTCATTACATGTGCGCATTACATCTGCCACCAAAAGCCAAGCCAGCAGTTGCACTTTGAATACAGATGCACAAACAGAGCACTTTTATATTAATGCATGGCCCGGGTGTCTTGCTCTGTGCACTCGGCAAGATGTATTCTGATGCTTTGCAGTCTTATTGGATTTGGAATCTCACGTTGGAATACCGCGGTTAAAAATTTGGAATATTGTGATTATGAACAGCGCGGCACTGGCAATAAAATGTCAGTGTTTGACGACTTTGTCTGCTGATCCACTTCATCCCATAAATACCTGCCTCTTTATGGTTGCGTTTTTCAATTCTAAGTCTCGGCAACTAATGTAATATTTTCAACTAGACCCTAGTGTGTAGTGTGTAAACATGATAGAGAGTGTAATAGAAAATGCCAAACGGCAACAGAGTAGAGCGCCTTCCATCCATTTCGCAAACTGCTTATCCTTACGGAGATTGCGGGCGTGCCGGAGCTTATACCGGCTGTCTTTGGGCATCAGGCGGGGTATAACCTTGAACTGATTGGCAGTCAATTGCAGGGCACACACAGACAAAGCATTCCCGCTCACAATCACGTGTAGGGGACAATTTAGAGTGTTCCATTTCCCTACGATGTGTGTTTTTGAAATGTGGGTGGAAACCGGAGTACCCGGAGAAAATCCGCGCAGGCATGGGGTAAACATGGAAACTCCATGGAATTTCATTTCACTTGAGCGGGATTTACAGGATGTGCTGCTTCTGTTGTTTGTGCCTTGGCCTCCAGGGGGCGGTGTGGCGCACGCATGCAGATAACATACAGGTTTGAAGAAAAAACAAAGAAGAATGGCGGGGCAAAGCTAAGAAACACATTTTTTCGCATGGTAGAATGAATACATGCCTTTGAGTATTGTTACAGTATATCATTTTTCTGTGTATGTTGATACAGCGTTTGTTTTCTGTGAAATTTTCGTTATTTCAAGGTTTGTACTGCAGCACCAATGCTATTTGTTAGCCTCTCGAGACGAGCTCTTTGACAGCTGGGAGCTGGGAGTGTTTAAGTCAAATCTCCACTGTATTCGCTGCAAAGTTAGGATCACAGCCTCAGATATTTAAGTCAAAAAGGATCACGGAATATATTTTACTCGAAATGATTGGATTTGGTCTGGAGCGTAATCAATATTGGAGCGGCCAGCCGACGAGGTGTGATGCATTTGATCTAGTCATTAAGACAGACGGGAAGCTCCATGCCCCGCTACCTCGGCCATCTCAAATCAATGTCTGCGGTGGCTCTTAAATCAATGAGCGTGTTGCATCCCAGAGCCTCATCAGTCGACCGTCCCCTGAGAGCAAGCGTAGGAAAGGAGAAAGGGAATAGGGGTTGAGGGGGGAAGATTGACATTAGCTGTGACCGGAAAAGAGAAGGTGAGAGAGGGAGTTCGAAGCGGCGGTGGGGTGCAGCGCTACCGACGATTGGCTATACTAACATCTGTAATGATTGTGTGTCATTGCCTGCATCTAAATGTTATCCAATTCAGGTAAGTGTCATTTGGAAACGCAGCCGCGCCTCGCCTTGCAGTGTTCTGAGCCCGGACCACCCTGAACCTGTGTTATGCTCTGGCTCAGCTGCCGTCATTGCCTGATATTTAGCAGAGAGCTGACTTGAGACCGATGTTTGTGTTCTTGTGATTCCAGGCCAGCCATTCTCCCAAGGGCAGGGCACAGTAATCAGGGCCGTGATACCATCCCTCGGGTAGGAGGAGGAAGAAGCGGGGCCTGTGGGGCTGATCCGCGGGGCAGATATATTTATCTAGGTAATGAGAACCCAAACACCGCGCCTCTGCGGGGAGGGTCGGGGACATGGCCTATTGCGCCGAGAGACCCACCGGTGCCATGGCAGCGCAGTCCCCGTGCTGCTCATTAAACTTCCATCAGCATGTGGTCGCCATGTTCCTGCCTGGCCTCCAAAGTGCCTGTTATTAATTCATGAAAGCACAGCGCACATGTGATTGAGTCTGGAGAGCAGTGAAGCAGTCAGGCATGGGAGATGGGGGAAATATTGTCTGTGTCTGAACACCCAACCTTCTATCAAACCGCTCCGATGCGTTCCCTCTGGCGGTGTGGTCTCGGGGAAAAAAAAAAAGACATGGATACGCTATGTTGTGAAACATTAATAGCCCAAGTTGTAGTTTTCCTACAGCTGGAAAGGGAGCAAGACGGGTCGTGTGTGTGTGTGTGTGTGTGTGTATGTGTGTGTGTCTGTGTGCACTTTTGGAAAATGTACATGAATCAGGATGCTCAGGAGCTCATTGGCTTTCGTGTGTTCAAAAGCCGGTGGGGGAGGTTGATTGTTGTCGAGACGTTTTGTGTGAATATGTAATGAACAAACGCAAGCGCTGTTTGGGAATTCTCGCATATATGTCGAGCCAGCCGCTTTTATCTTTGCTCCACAGACGCGCTTTCTTGAGTTGGGAATCCCCCGCTTAAAACGGGAGACAGTAATTTGGCCTGGATATGGATTGCCGCAATTGAATTTTAAAACATTAGCTCCAGGATGATAATGGTTGCTACTGAGAAAATCTAGGAAATGCATTTGGGTCGTTAGAGCATGGAGGGGATGGGACTAATGGTGTGCGGGGGTGGGCTGGGGGTGGAGGCAGGAAAAGATGAAAACCATTTTTAGGATGAATGGGTTATTTCAGTGCGACGGGGACGGTGGAGAGTGAGGGGAAGTGAACAAGAAGGGGGAGATGGCGGCAGAGAGGGGCGGCGGGCTGGGGGGGTGCTACATGATTTCAAATTAACCATTATTGTAGGCTGTGACATGTATTATGTCTCCCGAGGCTGTGAATCTTGAGCTCATTTTCACGGAGGAGAAGCGAATATGAGTCCACTGTCACAGTCTGAATACTTACAGCTGGCTTGAGCTCCTCATCTTAGGGCCAATTATAACTCCTCTTCGAGCAAATCCTGAGCCCGGCCGCGGCTCTTCCAGGCAAATCTCGCCATGCATAGCTTATTGTTAGCAGCACTCCGTGTCCAATTAAGAAAGCGTTCCCTTCCATTCCTCTCTTCTCCGTGAAACCGGCCTGTGAACGTGTAAAGCGGCAGTACCATTTATCAACATAATGGTAAATGACAGTTTTGATCATTATGTGCACGCACAGAATTGGATAAAAATCAGACAGCAATTTCCATACGTGTGAACAAGTGGGAATTCAGTCATTCTAATTAAGCAGGCCATCGATGGATAATTGTCTCCCTACCTTGCCAGAACTGAAGACATAGATATCATCTTAATTCCTTTTGGAGAACATCTCATAAATCATCACTTCATATCTTCTCTTCTGACATTAATTCAGTCAGGCTCATCTCATAATTGCCAGCGTGCGTGAGGTACTAAAGATTAGGCAGAGAATGAAATTGATGTTGTCCTGCAGACGGGGAAAAAAAAAAAAATCGATGAGATCTGACCTTGCACGAGCAGACAAAGAGCCGAGTTTCATGACAGTAGCTCGTGTTTACCATCTCGACGAGCGGCGCTAATAATATGCTGCTGTCCCATCCCCGCCGAATCTCTGTCAGATTCCATCATCGTATAATTAATAAAAGAGGGTGAAAATAGTCCTCTCATATTTACTGCCATGTTAACTGAAGTGTTTATGATATTGGACCGATGTGTGCTGTCATTTTCAAAAGACCAAAATTCTTAACTGCGTAATAATACCGAAAGATTTATGATGGTCTGGTATACAAGACATAATCTTTACTTTTTGGATAAAAATCTTGCTCAATTCACATCATCTTTTCCATGGAATTTGGTTTTCAATGTTATACCAAAGGAGATGTGCGCATGATGAACTCAAACTGGGAAATCACCTTTTGATTCAACAGATCCTCCTTCAGGAGCACATTTGATTCGGATTTAGGACAACATGGAACTGCTTTTTCCATCGGTGCCACTGGAGAAACAATGGACGGCGTACCACTTGCTTCGACAGCACATTAAGGTTAGTAGCAGGTAAGCAAGCATTGCACTAAGCCGTTATGTCCTACAAGGGGAACAGATGGCATGGCCCCAAAAGTACAAGGCCTTGTGCTTTTGCTGCACATTCACTCTGGGGGCCGCATATAAATTCGATTAATGAATGTGCTCCACATTTAAAGGTTTAGATTAATCATGAATGAAAACCTGGGTGGAATATCGGGGTTAAAGAAAAGTTTGAGCTTTGAGGACTAGCCTCATGTAAAAAATAAAATAAAATTTAAAAAAAGGTCAGACTGGCCTCGATGTATCAAGGTAGCGTTTCATGATTTTCTTCACCTTTGGATTTAATTTTCGCTGAATTCCAGTTTCCACAAACCAGTCATTATGCCGTACAGCAGGAGACCAATTCTGCACCATTACTTTTTCGTCACCATACGAGCGGGGTGATGCGAAGTTATTGGAAACGTGAAACCTTACACATGGCTGTTGAAAGATGTCAAGGCTAGCCGTACACTGGATACAGTCCTCCAGTTTGTTGAATTCATTGGCAGATTGGCACCCTGGTCTGATGTCACGGTACTCGAATAGCTGGCACAGTTACTGCCATCTGTTGACATTTGAGGATCATGGCTTACCCTCTGAAATGCTAAACTTCAAGAACTGCACTGATATACTGTACTCTCTGGAATCGTGACTGTAGGTGGTTAAATAAAAGCCAAAGAGAAATGCTTTCAATAAAACGCTCAATTCCTTACAATCTATTTGCTCTCTCAGCTGTATCTTTGTCTCGCCGCGGACAAGTTAGCAGTTAGCAACACCGTGGCGACTCAGGACTGCAGTCGAACCCGCCAAGGTAATTTGAACCAGTCGATGTGACTGATTCCGTCATGTCTGCGGTGCATGTCGATCGCACATCCACACATTGTCTACACGACCCGTGCCGTGCAAGGTGGCGGTAAATTGAGCCCCTCCACCTCCCCCCAAGTGATTAGGCAAGAAGGCAAGGTACACCCTGGCCGTATATCAAGCAGTAGGAATCACATAATCTTCTTGGCAGAGTTAATGATACAGAAGGCGCGAGTGCATAAGTGTTGATATGGGAGCTCCCCTCTTAGAATTCACTGTGAAGAAATGATGATAAACCTTCCCTCAATTTTTTTTTTTTTTTTTAATCAAAGGTGATGTGAGAGTTAATTCACAAGATGGGAGGGCGAGGCAGCGAGAGCCTGAGAGCACTGCTCTTCGGGCCTCTTCACCGGTAATTTAACTGCAGGATGTGAGCGGATCTGCATACATCACCGTTCTCCACCTCAGCACTTGAAATTGACTGTCAAGAGTATGCGACAGTGTGTCACTGGGTGTCGTTCAGCGACTGAGGGGGAACGTTGGCTTGGGATCTGCAAAATGAGCCTTCGGAATATTACTTTATGAATGATGTCTCTCAGTTATTTGCTTTCATCAATCATGTTTCATACTTCATTGTGAGTCCAGATCAAACCAAAGCAATGGTATAGTAAAATCCCCCTCCATCGTGGGTTCCAGGTTCTTTTTTTTTTGTACTATTCATAGCTACTTTAACTTTTGTATGCCGTACTTTCACGACCACATGGCGCACCATATTAAAAAGTGTAGTGTCAGTTACGGGTTCTATTTCGGTATTGAACACATACACAAGACGCATTGTATTATTGAACGCAGGCATGATAAAACGTATGCTAGCTTAAATAATAGCATGCATGCACAGGAGCGATCTCTGTATGTGAGTAGTTTAACATTGTCTATGCGCTTCTCCGACGCATCGCGCCAATGGAGTGCAGCCCAGCCACATTCTGGCAGTGGCGCGGTACATTCTGGGCTCCGGCATCCACTTTGAGAGGCTTTTCTGGCTGTAAGAGTGACAAAATATGTCACACACTTTCATTAAATATATGAGACAGACTGTTGGACGTCAGCATGTGCAGTACATGTGCGATAAAATGTTTGTTGGCGAAAGGAAGACAAACGGTAACATCTCTCGTGTGAGCGCACGCACCAGCTGCCTGACTCGGCGATAAATGTGCGCGTGGTCACTCCAAGTGTGGCTCGTGCAATGCTTCACTTCACTTCTTGCACATGGATTTGAAAGGAAATATGCACATTCAGCTATTTTAATGATCAATCCGTGATAATTATTGCATTGGGAAAAAAATCAGTGGAAAGCATGGGCCAAAAAACTAAAATGTGTCAGAATGTAATCATTACGTTTTTTTTTAAAAAAACAATACTGTTCAACTTCCCTATCATATAAACCCTCATCCAGGGCCCTAGATTAGTTAGGGCTGGCTCTATTTGTAGTCGTTGTGATCATGTGCATTTCATTTTAATTGTGTTTCTAATAGTGTCTGATATACAGTTGAATAAACGTTGCGCTGTGTGTGTACATGCTGTTTGTTTGTGTGTACAATGGGGAGGACATCCTGTATATGGAAGGGGACCGTGACATTTCCCAGTGGTGGTCTAATCTGAGCTAACGTACTTAAACAATGTCGCACCTGATTGTTAGTTGATCCCGTGGTCACCGAGGGCTCTTGTGCAGACACTGCCTCAGCACGTAGGGGGGCGGGGGGGCTTTATTGAGGCTCTCCCATTGGTTACCTCATGGACAAGTGTCCCTTTTTAGGCTGGGGATTAAAAGGGGGATCACAGATATTTGCGTTTTCCCACTTGTCCTCGCAGGATCCTGTTGCCACTCCCCTTAAGCCCATCGGTCGCCCCATCATGCGCCCCGTGACGGAGGAGTCGCCCTAGCAGCTGGGGGTTAGCGATGCTTGCCAACAGGACGATCGTGTATCCTCGAAGGCTCTTCCCAGCCTTCCCCGTGGCCACGTCCACACAACAGCCAGTATCAGCTGATTATCGCCACCGTGGCAGTAAAAGAAGCCCACTTTGGCAGAGGCGGGCCGCTGGCCTGCAAGGAATGTTGATATTGAGTAACCAACACTTCATCCACAGGCTCAGGCTCTGTTACTGACGCCTAGAGAGCACACCGCAAGCCAGATGCCCTGACACATTAGCAACCTGTTAAAGGTTAAGGGATCAAATCGTTGCCACATTTATAAATTGCATCACGTCGCTATAAAAGACGATAACGTCTTTGTACGTTGCGACTGAACTTTATGGCTCCTTTGACAAACGGCAAAGGAGCATCGCAGAGAGACAACTACGATTCCGACGACATACCGCAATATTATCTTCCAGGTTTTACTAGCAAACGGCTTCTCCTCAATGAAGTGGTTCTTTGATATGTTTGAGTAATTTATATCGCGAACGGGTGCAAGTGTGGAAGGTGTATGAAGGCCGCGCTCGTAAAAGTTATTTCAAACCCTGCTGGCCGGTCAGGCTTGGTAGCTGTGTATTTCGAGTGTGTATCTTTTGAGAGTTTAACACCCCGACACTCACAGGCTCAGACGGACTACTGGTGTCTGGTATCAAGCTGAATTAAAGCCATGTCAACACATTCAGTTCAGCTAGGCTTACTTCACGGAGTCTCTTATCTGAGGCACCGACACAGTCAACTACTACATCATACGCTCGCGCACGCACACAGTTCATGCCGTTCCCCGTGTTTATTCTCTAAATATATTTTGGTGTTGAAATTCAAATGAGTTGGGGAGTCTCTGTGTTGTGCGCCATGAGGCCTTGTTTGCCTTGTTTACAACACACAAGGATTAGAAAGCAGTGAAATGTATTATTTAGTGAAGGACTCAAATTAAAAGCCTCATACTTGTAGCTTTAGGCATCAGTATTGATTTAAATAATAATAAAGGGGGGAAAAAAGTGGAGGCCTCGTGTACTAGCTGGAGCCTGTTTTTCCACTCGCATTCCCCCAAGACGAGTAGAGAATCATTGTGCATCTTGGATTACTTTCAAGCAAAATGTGCGGGCATCAAGTGGGATTTGAAGTGACATTTCATTCTTTGCGAAATAATGACCATCCTTGAACAAATGTTTTCAAATTGTGCAGCAAGAAAGCTCCCATTTGCATCTTTTCACATTTTTCTTTCACAATCTTGGCTTTACGCAAATGTAAACGCTTCCTCTATTACAACGGAGCCCCGCATACTCACAGTTTGGCACTTGGGGATTCAATTATTTGCGGATCTTTTTTTCCAATATAAAAAAAATAATAATAATAATACCCCCCCCCCCCCCCTGTACTTTTTCAATAATATTTTTCTCTGCTCACTC